CATCTCTCCCCTGCCTACCTCCCTCTCCTCCTGTATATATTTATACACACATATACATAGAAATATAACTACTATCAAAATCTCAGAGCACTTTCCTCGAAATATGATGCAATCTTTGGAGAAGGCATGAAGTTATATCAGTTCCTGCCACAGCTACTCACATCGCCCATCTGAATTTTTCACAGGACAAGGAACTATTATACAGAAATGCCTATATCATTGGGGGACTTAGTCCCAACTTTCCACAGTCTTACTCGGTGCTGATGAAGGGTCAGAAGAAACCAACGACCACCTTACTGTACGGGATGCATCTACATGATTTATCTAAACGATTTGCAATAATAGCTCGTCTCTCCATCTAACACCAGCGAGGACAGGGAGGGGGCGGGGAAGGACAGAGAGCTGGACTGTGCTCCTCGGATCTCAGCCTTCCTCATCTTGAATGAACCGTGACATGTCATCACACTCTTCTAAGCCAACAGTATTCCTATCTGCAAAACGTCAGGTTTGGATGGATCTCCCAGCTCTAAAATTAGATGGTTCTCTAATTCTCAGCGTCCCTTGTAAGGGATCCTGGCTGTTTCTGCTAATTTGGAGATAGTGCTTCACCCTCATATGACTTAGACTTTTGCCAGTGCTCCTGCTCCTAGCCACGGCCATCTTTCGTCGCAGTTGGCGTAAGAGACACGAGTACCCAGCTGCACAGGCTCCCAGGGGACCAGGCTCCCAGGGGCACCACCTACGGACGCCCTCCGGATTGCAGGTCAGGTGATGCAATCTCCCACACATGCCCTTTGAGCTCTTGGTATGCATCTAACTCAGCAACACACCACATTTTCTCTCTTCAGTAGGTGAATGTTAAATAACTTTCATTTTAGAACTACCTTTCATATTAGAATTTAATCGAATATTAAACAGCTTTCATATTAATCACAAAATCCTATCAGCTATTTCCGCTCTCAGCCCTGTCTTTCCTTGAACGGACCTTCCTACAGAAAAGCACTTGTCATGGCGAGAAGGTCCACACCTCCCGCCGCGGCAGAGCCCCCTGGGAAGCAGGGCTTCCTACCAAGGAGGGTGAGACTGAGAAACGGAGCTGCCTCCTCCCCACTCAGCAGCCACCTCTCTACCTGCACAAGCGCAGGCCTGGAGAGTTAAAAGGCAGCTGGGAAATGATGCTTTGAAACATGAATGTTTTAAAGGAACTGAAAATCTCCAAGTTCAACTGCATTTTTCTAATCCAACAAAAACATGCTGGAGTTAGGAGGAGCTCCCTGCTGTTTGCACAGGCATCCCTCACGGCC